AAAATTTGGAAAGCTTTTAATCTCAGTGAAAGGGAGAGCCAATTTGTCCTAATACCAAGGTGAGTAGGGAAGAAAAGAGTATGTCAAGGTTTAAAAAAACATCCTTTGGAAATGAAGGAAAAGCAAAGCCAGATAAAAGTCCTGAAGGTATTCTGCAGCTGCAGGTATAGGACACACACCTCAAGGATCAGTCTGTGTGAAAACTTTGATTTTGATCATCTGTACCAGGGCTGAGAGACTGCTGGTATGCACAAGCTTGGCTGTATCAGTAGTTTGCACAGCTGAGGACTGGTTGGATTGTGCCTGTGCCCTGCTTGTGGCTAAAAGATATAAATATCACCCTGAGTTGCACAGATGTTCTTCAGGATGTTAGCTTTGAGTAAGTCCTTGCTTCTAGTTACTAGCATTGCTTAGAACAAGCAAGAAAAGAGAGAGAGAGAGAGGGAGAGAGAGAGAGAGAATAATCTAAGGATCTTGGGTGCCTAACTCCAAGACCTCCAGGGTTATCTGCTTATAATAAAAATAATCATCCAAAAGCATCCACTGCAAAGAAGCAGAGAGTTTCAGGCAGCTAACACACCATTCCCAAGGGAGCATAGTCTAATTTCAAGGGCTTGGCACTCATTGCAAAAAAATTCTTCCTCAACAGCCTACCAGGAGACATGACTCTGGAATTTTCAGTAAAACCACAAGAGCAAAGAAGCCTGTTTAAAATATGGGGTATGAGTTGGACACATTGCTAATAAAGATTGCAAGACTCCTGGGGGCCTCCAACAGCAAAATACACTCAGAGAAGATCAATGACTTTTTTAAAAATTTAAATCCAAATTAGTTAACATATAGTGTAGTAATGGTTTCAAGTGTAGAATTTAGTGATTCATCACTTACATATAACACCAAATGCTCATCCCAGCAAGTGCCTTCCTTAATGTCATCACCCATTTAGCCCATCCCCCCATCCCCCACCCCTCTAACAACCCTCAGGGAAAGTAAGATAGATAAGGAGACAAACCGTTAGAGAGAGACAATTAAATACAGACAGCAAACCGAGACTTTCTGGTTAGTATCTGATGATGGTTGCTTCACCAGTGTCAGGACTGCCCTTGGACCCAGGGACAACCTTGTATAGGCAGAGGACCCGCAGTTTTGATGGGGTAACAACAGCAATACTTGCCTTATCACAGAAGTGGCCCCCCGCTCTACCATTCCAAAATTATACCTAGACAGGAACTCCTTAAGAGCCTTCTGAACAAAAAAGTATTTTGTGTGGGTAAAACTCTATCAGTTAGGATGATGAGTATCTGAAAGCCAAGATAAGGGTGCCTTCAATGGGACAGAAGTGCATTTCCTATTTGGGGCCAGCTTGAAGGAGGGTGGCCCAGGGCCATCCAGAAGCTCTTCTTCACCATCTAGCCACTTTGGCCCGTTTACCTCACTGCCCTGGGGAAATGAGTGTGGCCCATGCAGTGCTGCCATTCTGGCCTCACATTCTCAGCCTGAGGCAGCAGATGGAAGAAAAGACGATGAAATAAGTTCAAAGAGCATTCCCACAGCCCCATTAAGGAATGCTCAGAGACAGCCATCTAACACTTCTGTTTATATTTTGTGGGCCAGACTTAGTCATCTGGAGATATGCAACTGCAAGAGAGGTTAGGGACCACACATTTTTTTCTGTACAATTACACACCAGCTAAACCTTGACAGTGTGATTATGCTGCTGGGAGAGGAGGTCCCTGGTTCCTGTGGCACACACTGCTAGTTGCTTCTCAACATCCAGATTAAAAATGGGGAGAAAGTGTATTGGATTATCTGGCATCTATCAGTGACCAGGAACGTGAAGAAACGACATTTGTTGCCTAGGGAGAAGGGGAAGGAGGCAAGGAATGATCACATAATAGACATAGAGGGCATCCAGCCTTGTTTCCTGAGTTTGCATTTGAGAATAACAAGGCCCAGGAAAGCTGAGTGACTTTTCAAAGGTCATGCAACCTGCCAGTAACTAGCACCCAGCACTGATTCCCAACTAGCGTCTTCTTGTGCCTCTTGGATACCCAGGGCCCCACAGATGTGGAATATTTCTCTACTCCATGGAGCCTGAGCATCCAAGAGGTTGCTCACACTATAGGTGGCAGATTCAAATAGGATGGACTGGAGACAAAAAGCGAAAAGAAAGAAATTCCTGTTTACTATTACTGCATCCCTTGTTAGTGCTGGCCATTGAAGTCCCCCAAGTCTATAAATCCTGACACTCTTCTACCTCTGGGCAACTTTCCCAGTAGCTTATTTTGCCTCTGCTTCAGTCTCTTCAGTGATAGTGGGACTACTTTGAGGTAGCCCACCCCAACTTTATGCTGTTTTAGTTGTTACATAAGTCCCGATACGGAGGAAAAAAATAGCTTCCCTCCATTTTGTGAAGAGGCTCTGAATGGATTATAAACCATGCCAAGAATTTTTTTGTGGGGAAAGTGGTTACTATTCTTAACTGACTATCAGAATTTGGGACATATACCAGAATCCTGAAATTTCCTTTAATAACTTCATTTGCAACCTAATTCTAGAGGTACAACTTGTCGAACATCTCAAACCATTCTTAAGGTTGTGTTTATGAATTCATAGATGACTGGTTCACAAATTTGACATGTTGTTATTTAAAAGGCTGATTTAGGATAAAAGGAGAAAGGAAACAGGCTAAAATTAAGAGAGGGAGGGACGGGAATTGTGAAGTATTTTGGTAGTTTATGTGCTTGTAGGAAAAACAGAAGCTATAAATTGAAGAAGAACCTTCAAGGGTCTCTATTTTCTCATTTCACATTCTAAAAATTTATTTTTATAATTTAAAACAAAGTATATGGTAAATTTTATGGGTATTTATATTTATCGCAATGATAATGTTCTTAAAAAGGGGGAAAGAAAGATGTGGTCTAGGGAATAGAAGCACAGCAATAGTTTTAGAGTTGATATGCCTTGAATTACACTTGGTCTCTTCTCTAACCCCTATTATTTGAAGGAACAGTGCAAATTCAGGAGTCAAAGTTTTGTGCAATGCTTTGCTTTTGTAACAGGTATATCTTTTTTTTATTGAAGTATAATTAACATACAATGTTCTATTAGGTTCAGGTGTACAACACAGTGATTTGACAATTGTATACATTACTCAGTGCTCGCCATAAGTGTAGTTACCATCTGTCACATATGACATTGTTACAATATTATTGACTACATGCATAGTCATATTCATGCACATTTCATCTCTGTGACTTATTTATAACTGGAATTTTGTACCTCTGAATTCCCTTCACCTATTTTGCCCATCTCCCCACCCACCTGCCTTCTGGCAACTGCCAGTTGTTCTCTGATAGGTGTACTTTTTTAAACCCTGGAATGGACTGGTAAAAAAGAGGTAGGGACATACGTTTCTAGCCCTGGATGTTTTAGAACATTTTAAGTATTTTTATTTTTATTTTTATTTTATTTTGTTTTTTTTATTATTTTTTTAAATCTTTATTTACCTTTGAGAGAAAGAGAGACAGAGTTCAAGTGCGGAGGAACAGAGAGAGAGAGGGAGACACAGAATCCAAAGCAGGCTCCAGGCTCTGAGATGTCATCACAGAGCCCAATGCAGAGCTTGAACCCAGGAACCGCGAGATCATGACCTGAGCCAAAGTCAGACACCCAACCGACTGAGCACCCCAAGTGTATTTATTTTATAATAAATAATTAGATTACCCCAGAGGGCTGTACACATTTGACTCTCCACAAACACCACTTGCTGACACATTCTTATTAGAATTATATCAATAGAGGTGTCTGGGTAGCTTAGTTGGTCAAGCATCCCAACTCTTGAATTTGGCTCAGGTCATGATCTCATTGTTCGTGGGATCCAGCCCGAGTCAGGCTCTGCACTAACAACACAGAGCCTCCTTGGAATTCTTGCTTTCCCTCTCTCTCTCTGCCCCTCACTGGCTCACACATACATACTTTGTCTCTCTCTCAAAAATAAATAAACATTAAAAAAAGAATTATGTCACTAAGGAAGGTGTGCTCTCATTGTCAACTATGAGCTGAATCATACAGAAGTCCATCTGGATCATAAACAAAAGTGTATGAAATTTGACACATAGGCTCAGATGTTGAAGAGTGTGTGGGATAGGAGAATCCTCCAGGAAAAGACATATTAAAAAGCCCAGTTCCTGCCTTCCAAGAAGGCTTTTCAAGGTCTGTGGGATTTGTTCCTGTTACTTGTGCTTCTACGAAGCAGTTATTTCATCTTCTCTTGGGAAACGAATTACATGTCCATTCAGTGGACTGAATTTCTTTAATGCCAAACCTGATTGTCATTATTGTATCAATTTTCTCACATCTCACAGCCATTGGCATGCTCTCCTTTCTTGGCAACAGGAGGTGGTAAGTGGCAATAACCATGACTGGCATAGATAATTACTTAGGTCCTCTTACCGATGAGATTGTGAGCCCTTTGACAGCAGGCTCCATTGTGTTTTATGCATGATCGATAGTCAAATAATTGTTGGATGCTGTAGAAAGCAGAAGGAACAGTTAATTCCAGGTTTGAATGGAAGGGTTGTCATTTGTAGATGCTTCTGAGATGGCCCTATAGAGATTTTTTTTTTCTTTTTGTCTTTTTGGAAAGACCTGGTGCAAACAATTAAAAGAAATCTTTCTTAAACTAGGAACAAACTTACAGCGAGCATTTGGCACAGAAAAGTTTCAATTACGTTCTGTCCAGTGTTCCATAAATACCAAATACCAATATCATCTTTTCTCTACTGACCCATATTGAACATGAGTTGTGTTTGCAGAGGAGGAGGGACATGTGACCTACCTACAGCTAACTCATTTTCTTCCAGTTGTTTTAAAATGACAGCCAGAACAATGATTTTTAAACATTTAATTTTAGTTGCAGAAACTCGTTTTCTTTTTGCAAACTAATTCTTATTCATCATTCCTGTATTGAGACTAAAATGGGTGAAAGTATGGTTGCCCAAGTTGTAATCAGCAGGAGCTTGAGACCCTCAACTGAGTCCTCTCTTTCCCCACAAGACCTTTGAGTCTGTCAGCTGACCGGCAGACTCAGTGGAACAGTTTGAAGACCACTGACAACCTGACGTGGCCTGGTGGAAATCCATGGAAAATTGCTTGTGAAGCAAAATGGACCCAGGAAAACCCCACTTGGACTCCTCAAGGTCTGTGACTGTTTATTTGCTGCTGCCCCTATCCCATCCCCCACCCCTTGGGGAATGGGGAACTTTACTGCACTAAGGATTGCACCACTGGGGACTCGGCCTTTCCCCTTCAACTTCTCTAAGGGGGACTTTCAGCACAACATCTGCTTCATCTACCTCTGGGTGTACAAAGCTATTGCACTGGGGAGGGGGACTCTGTTGTAATTAAGAGTTTGGGGTCTAGAGTCTGCCTGCCAGGGTTCTTAACCCAAGTTCCAGGATTTGCTATGTGCAAGAGCCTAGGGCAGTCACTCTCATTTTGTCCCCAAATTTCCTCACTGGTGATATAGGAACAGTAGTAGCACCTGCCTCACAGGGTTGCTATAAGGATTAGGGATGACTTTCAGTCCTTTAGAACAAGGCCAGGCACAGAGTAAATGTTTTGTAAATACTGGATGTCATTAGGAACACATATTTGCTTGCCTGATATAGAACAGCTAGCTCAAGTGACTCACTTCTTTTGCTCCTAATTTTCTGGGTCACCTGAATTTTCCTTGCTAGCTTCACATCAAACATGTGGCCTCTGCAATCACATCCATGTATATGTAGGTTTGAGAAGTACCACCCAATTTCCAGATTACATTGCATTCCTTCTGCTCTCTATGCAGCAAAACTTTAATGACAATTCCCAGAAGCTTCTAGAAATTCCAACTTTGATTGGTGTTTGTTTTCCCAAAGATACTTTGTTTTTCAACTCCTGTAGTTCCTTTAGCTTGACTTCTCTTTCTTGTATCATGAAAATCTATATTTAAAACAATCTTTAATTAGTACAAAGAGGACAGGCTACATAATTTTCAGGACCAATTGCAAAATGAAAATGTAGGGTACCTTGTTCACAATGATTAAGAATTTCAAGGCAGTGACAGCAGAGCATTAAACCATGAAAGCAGAAGCCATGAAGCAGAGCCATGAAACTGGCCCTGACTACAAACATATTTAAAGTCTTTACTTTCTTTATGCCACAGTCAGATAGGATATTCAATTTACACAATGAGATTTTGTAGCCTGCGAGACCCAGAAACCTGGCTTTTACTGCCTACTTGCTTGTACTCACTAACCTTTGTCTTACATTTTTCCTTAAGTTCTTCTATATGGCTTGCCTCCTAACTCAGGCAATGAAACCTGAAGCCACCACTCGGGTGATGGTAACCTGACCACCAAGGCCCTTTGAGTTAAAACCCCTGACTTGCACCTGCACAGATGGACCATGGAGTGACCACCTCACCACACCCATGACCAGAATTGCCTTTAGCCTATTTTAATACTAAAATCTCCGCTCCGGACCTCAGCCTTATTTACATAACATACAATGTATGTATAGGCATGTTTCCTTAAAGTGCATGTGTGACCTTATGGCCTCCTTTACATATGATGACAAATATTCATCCTAACTCCAAACAAAAGGCACCCATTAACCCTCTCTCGGGGAGTCACCACTTTGGAAGCCATTCCCTGTGATCTTCTTACTTGCTGCAAATAAAGTTTTCTTTGTACAACAGACAACTCAGTGTGGTTTCTGTGACTCACCAAGGAGTGAACTCACATTGGCTCAGTTAAAATTTCTCTTACTTTCATGTATGAAGCCTCGAGGAACAGAAAGTATGTATGTTCCAAAGACATTTGTTTATTCTTCCCACAGATAATAGTTCTAAACCAAGGACAAGAGATTCTTTCTAAAGATCCATGTAACAGATACCTGTAAAAGAAAATCACATCTCTCTCTCTACTTGGAAAGGAGTTGACTCAGTTTTTTTTTCTTGGATTTCCCAATGACATTTCATTTTCATAAATATCATAGAGTCCATCTTTCACCTGCCACCAGTCTTACAAAAAATTTCACTATTGCTAATGGTGTTATACTCACTATAATCAAGATTATTCACTTCCACATGCTTCTTTTTTTGTGTGAGAAATCTCTACTAAGAACTGGGCTTTTTCTGCTGCCTTAATGCTGATTCCCTCCAGAAGCAGAGCCTGAAATAAGGGTTTAATTATTGATAGTTCGTTGGGAGGTGCAGGGAAATAGGAAAGCAGCCAAAAATGATGAATTATTAAGCCATCTATCACAGCAGTCAATTGGAAATTAATCCTGCAAATAAACTTTGAGATACTTTAAAACACCACAGAATTATCTCACCTGGAGGCTCAAGGGGGTAGGCCTTTAGACATTAATTGAGAACTGCTGAGAGGGGCAGAGCTAAATCCAGGCAGTGCATGCTGGGATGGTATGGTCTCCGGGATGGGAAGACGCTGAGCTTGCCTGCTATATCTACAATAGAACATTGGAAAAAGAGTCTTCAAGCAAACAGCTCTGGGTTCCAAGATCAGCATAACTGATTTGAAGAATGATTTGGGGTGAGTTAACATCTGAGACTTATTTCTCATCTATAAAATAGAAATACCACCATTTACCTACCTTTGGTGGTGTTGGGATTATGAGAACCATATGAAACATCAGACATAACCATTTGTTTTTTTATTTTTAATTTTTTTCAAAGTTTTTTATTTATTTTTGGGACAGAGAGAGACAGAGCATGAACGGGGGAGGGGCAGAGAGAGAGGGAGACACAGAATCGGAAACAGGCTCCAGGCTCCGAGCCATCAGCCCAGAGCCCGACGCGGGGCTCAAACTCACGGACCGCGAGATCGTGACCTGGCTGAAGTCGGACGCCTAACCGACTGCGCCACCCAGGCGCCCCCATAACCATTTGTATATACAGCTACCATTAAATTGTTTTTTAAATTTTTATTTATTTATTTTGAGAGAGAGGAGAGAATGTGAACGAGAACAAACAGGAGAGGGGCAGAGAGAAGGAGAGACAGAATCCCAGGCTAGTTCTGTATCATCAGTGCAGTGCCCAATGTGGAGCTCAAACTCACAAACTGTGACATCATGACCTGAGCCGAGATCAAGAGTCAGACACTTAACCCAGTGAGCCACCCAGGCATCCCTAACTTGTTTTTTACAACCAGTATTTCTGAAACCTAATATTCATGGCAATCACTTGAAAATCTTGTTAGAAGGCAGATTCTGACTCAGCATACCTGGATGGAGTATGAGGTTATGAGGTTCTGCAATTTATAATAAGCTCCCAGATGATACTGATCCTGCTGGTCCCTGGATTACACACAGCAAGATTTTAAACCATTCTAAAATTTCTCTTTGACCACCATATACAATAAGTCATAAAACATTTTCCCTAGGTCTGTTGAGTTTAATCATAGTAAAAAAAAAAAGTTTGAACACATCCACAAGAGCCTTATGTGTTAGCCTTATATGGAAAATAACCAGCTGTGTTAATCACTACTAATAAACTTAACTGCTTGGAGTTCCCAGAACAGAGTTACACAAGAGACAAAGTGCAGAGTGAAAAATATATAGAATAGATAAGGATTTCGGCATTATGGGAAATGTAAGAAAAGATAAAAGTTGCATCATTATTAGAGAATGAGGAAAAAGATGAGATCCCAAAACATATTTCTAAGCAATTCATGACACATGGCACTAATACAAAATTGATGTGATGTGCTTTGAGATGTCTCCTATGTGCAATACATTATGAAGGGTAGAGATGTAAAAGCATGTATGTGCTGTTTATAGTCTGTCGAGGGGAATAGAGCCAAACGTGAAGATGCTAAGCAGTAAAAACGTGAATAAATAGTTCTTAGCGGGAGAGACTTGTTAGGCATAGGGAGGTTATTTTGGTCTGGAATACCTGGGGGAAAATATAGTTGGCGATTTCAGCTGAGCTTTCAGAGGACAGGTAAGTCTTGCTTTGAATATTGTGGAAATGTATAGGGAAATAGTCATGACTTTAGAGAAATGATTTTATAAAATGTGCCTCAAAAAGAGCCCTGTTTAGGAGTATGTGTTGTCAGTAACAGGGCTTGGTTAAGGACAGTGGCACACAATGTACTTATTGACCCTTAGCTGAGGGAGAGGGAGGCAAAACAGCAGGTGGCCAATAGTATTGTAATCATTACAATCATGGAACTTGGAGGCAGATCTGGATTCACACAGATTTTTAACAAGAACTAGCTGTGGGATTTAGAAACACTTCATCCTATTCATCTTAAATCTCTATTTTCTTATGCATAAAATGATAATTTCATGATTTCTAAATAGGATTGAAGTGATGCTTAGGTAATTCATGAAAGGAAATCCATTGTATATTTCTTAGTACGGACCTGCTTCATAAGTGGATAGTAAACATCAACTTCATTGATGGATAGTAAACATTAACATATTCAAAACAGAAAGGACAAAATCCTGCAGAGAGGCGCTATATATTTAAATATATATATATTATATATATATATATATATATATATGTATATATATATAATTATAGTATATATATAATTATAGTATATATATTCTATATCTATCTATCTATCTATATACTGTACCTCCTTTGGGAATTGTCCCTTTTTTCCCTTATCATGCCCAGCATGCCTCGGCTATGTGTGGGACAACTTATAAGCCCAATAGCGAAGTGGGTGGTGGGGTCAGATCCTGAGGCAGGCACATGTTGTCTTTATATAATTATTATATAGTATATAATATAATATATATAATATATGTCTCAGTTTATACTGTCAATGACACATACACAGAGCAAATTTTAGTCCTTTCATAAAAGAGAGGGGTATATGGTTATTAAGATGTGCTGTCCAAATTCCCCTCCAGGGATAAAGAAGCTATTACCCTGATACTGGGAGTGCCTCTAGCTGAAGAGACCCACCTTGCCAAAGTCATGCTCCTTCTTTGGGTTGTCCACATCAAGTGACTGTTGGCAGAGATTTAAAGGCTCAGCCTTCTCCGGTTGTGAACAATTCTGAAGCGTTGTTTAATCTTCAAAAACCTCCACAGGATCAATAGAAGCTTTACTCAGGCTGCATAACATCTCAATTTCTCCCTCTGCCTAATCATATATCCTCCCCTTCCCTCTGCACTTGTTGAACCTTCTGCAGAATAATTTCCATCTTAGAGTCTGCTTCCTGGAGAATCCAACTGTGACAGGTGGTGCCGCTGGTGGTGGGTGGAGGACAGCTAGCCATTGACACCAGGTGGTAGTGCAGGTGTTAAAATGATCACAGGTGATGAAGTTGGATGCTATACTGGTAAAAGAAAATACATTAGCTGGTATTGATTTCTGCCTTTGGAGAAATAGGAAAATACTATAAAGACCGTGGAATTGAGTGCCTTTTCTAACTCATTTGAGGTTTTGGAGAAAAGATAAGCTAGAGGTGAAAAGAGGAGATTCACCTTAATAGCATATAAAGAAACTCTCATCTCCCACAGCATGAAGGGGTGAAAATATTGAGGACCAGGAACTAATGTAAGAGTAGCTGAACTTCAGAGGAGGTTAAACTCTCAACCTAAGCAGATCTGTTATGCCAAGCTTGTAACATGTGGGATGGGGACACCTGGGTTGATCGTTGATTGCTCCTCTTCTCCTATAAAACCTTGAATCTCCAGATTCCCAGGAGCCCTACAGAAATAGTTTGCTCCTCCCTGTTAAGGGCCAGAACTCTTCACTAGCTTGAAGACAATGCAGAAGCCTTTCCCTTGCAAGACAACATGTGCCTGCCTCAGGATCTGACCCCACCACCCATTTTGCCACTGGGCTTATAAGTTGTCTCACACATAGCTGAGGCATGCTGGGCATGATAAGGGAAAAAAGGGACAATTCCCAAAGGAGGTATAGGACTTAGCCATCCTTTATAAACATGTACTGGAAGGTTATAGATGGTTTCTGAGTGTGCTGGATCAAGGGGTCAGAAAATACTGTTCGAAAAGAGAGCTTATCAATTTGAGAAACTCTTTTAGGATACATGATTTAAAATTTTAGCAAGAACACAAAGAAATGGTGCAAACACACCTCTACCATGGCTCTTAGATGCATGAATAAAGCAATAGTTCATACTAAGTAGGAGTAAATATACCAAAGTTGCCATAGCAGATGGTAGAGGAAGAAAATAAAAGGCTCAGAGAAGTACATAGCCTAGAATGGGTACACTATGAAGGCTGGAAAACCCGCCAGACATCTGTCTCCCAGAGTGTGCACCATTTACCCAACCAGTAAAGATGTCCCTTGTAAGAGGGCCACCAGCATCAGCAAGAAGTTCAGTGTTGGCATTTCTTAGCAGGTAAGTGCTGACAGTAGGAAATGCCATTACAGAACTGGGCTAATTGATAATAGCACTCCTCCAACCCCCCAGGTGCACATCATAGAAGACAGGTGTTAGTACTCAATCATCCAAAGCCAGGTTGATAAAATTATAATGTATAGCAATGCCAAGAGGGTAATGATGAATCTGACTTACAGATAAGTGTGGAGCTGATTAATAGAAAACTGTGTCCCTCGGGGAAAAAAGAAGGGTAACCAACAGGGCTACTACTCAATCTGTGTAATCAAAAGAAGTCAAGGATGGATGATTGCATGGTTAACAGCAGTTACCTTAACATATAATCATGGTCCATGGTTCACTTTCCA